TGGCAGCTTGAAGCAGCGAGCGGGAAAACCTTGAGCAACAGTGGGAGCAAGCATCGAAGCCCGAAATCGCCTGAACCCTGGTCCGAGTGAGTGTGGGAGCCAAACCATCAGCTCCTCAGGACTGGGGCCTTTACATCGGTGGCATTCGAGAGGCCGAGGATCTCGAGTCTCTGCGTGCTCATGGAATTTGTGCCGTGGTTAATGCAGCGCCAGACGTCGTTCATGCAGCTTGCGTGCAAGAAGAGGTACATGCTTCGGTTGTATTCAGTAGCATCTTCCCCTCGCATGCTCTGGCATGCCGCTTCGATTAATGATTTAGGCAGTCATCTGTTTACCCGGCCGAAGACCGATGGATAGCGATGTGCCGTCAGGTTAACTATCCAGAGGGCTGGGTAACTTTGACTGTGGACGCAGAGGATGATCCCGCCTATCCTTTGTGCCTGAGCTCAATGCTGTAAGATATGGTGCAGAGGAAGCAGTAGGCTGCAGATCGATGTTCCTACATAGCCAGCAGCGTTTTGGAAGCAGGCTTGCATGAGACGGAACCCCGTGTACAACTTAGATACAAAGACCCGTGTCAGCGTGCGTCAGCACGTCCCAAGCTGGTCATAGTGAGGTTGGAAGCGCACTTGGAGCCAGTTTCGGAGCTCCCTGGCCGAAAATGTGTTTTTCCAGCGAAGCGGGCGGTTTTTCAGGCCAGAAATCCCTAAAGAAGCACTCAGGTGAGGATCTGCAACATATTCAAGGGTTGGGGTTGATGTTTTTGGCCGCGGCAAAGAACCTGAGCGAACTGCAGGAAATGGCGGCCGATTTTCCAGTCATGTGCAAGCCGGTGCCATCCTGACCCCTCAGGTTCCTGAACGAACAGCGGGCCCAAAGATGCTTGGCTGTGCTGCAGCTTTCGCCCTGCAACGTGGCAGATAACCATGCTTTTCTCTGCTCGTTTGTCAGCCGCCAAGGAAGGCCTGTGCTTTTGCATTGCTTCGCTGGGATGAACCGCAGTGCAGCTCTTTGTGCTGCCTATCTCTTAGCCCGGGAGTCTCAGACTGAATGGATCACGATGCACACAGAATGAAAGGAATGGCATCAGGTTTAGCGTCATGCTCCTGTTAGGCTCTGTTTTTGCAAGCTGGACAGCCGTGACCTCGCATGAACTGGCGGCTGTTTCAGGTCAAGACTTAACTCGTGCCGAGTCCCGGCCGCTGAAACTTGCGGGCGGGCCAGGTTGCACGACATGGCGGTGGCGTCGTCCGCCTCCAGAGGAGGCCTGCCGAAGCAGACTAGTGGTTCGGCGGTCTCCAAAAGCAAGGTGTCCACATCGACAAAGATTGAAGCCACGGCATCCAGAAATAGGAATACAAGTGGCGGCGATAGCGGTGTAACAGGAGGAGGGCGCATGCTGATTTACTGTGATGGCAAGAATGTCACACCGAAGAGCCTGGTGCCGTCGCACTACCAAAAACTTGCCGGGGGTGATCAGACAAACCTTGACTCCATCGGAATCTTGGGAACCTCCCCCTCAGCTTTGCCCACTCATGAAGAGGAGAAGGTGGTCCCTGAAAAGCCTCCACCGACGGCGGCAGAGATAAAGGCAAAAGCGCCAAAGCAAGCCACTCTCTCCAAGGACGAGCTCGAGCGTCCGATCGACATCGTGCTCAGTGAGACACAGACTGAGACGCTTTTGACCTTTCCATCTCTTTGCGTATCTCTTGACAATCCTCAGTCTGGGTCGGTTTCTTCTCGCAATAAGGCCTACGAGGAGCTTTGTGCTTCGAAGGCAGACAGCGATCAGTACAAGGAGCAGCATTGTCAGACCATGAACCAGCCTCACAAGAGCAAGGAGGTCTTTGCAGCCGCTCCGAACACTGAGCATGCAGAGGTGAATGTGACGGGCTGGGATATTTATGATGCTTTCGCTACTGCTCCGGTGCCGAAGCACGAGCAAATTCAACAGGCATGTGAGAAGGAGTCGCAAGCTGCGGTTAGTGTGGCAGTGAAGAAGCCAGGCTGCTTGTTCACAATGCAAGAGCCTTACCCAGTGTCCGAGCTGCCAAAGGAGGTGAAGCAGAAAACCGGAGGCGACGGAGGCAGGCGTGGTGTACGTGCTGCAGCCGGTGCTTCGGGGACTCTTCGTGCCGGAATCTCGGCTGGCCCCTCTGCTCTTGCTTCAGGAGCTACGGCCGAGACAAGTGGCTACCCGGCAGCGCAGACTGAAGCCATCCCAGTCGACACACTGCTGCCTGGACAGGATGAGGATGCTGTCCTGAAGGAGGGGCCCAAGGCAAGCGACAAAATCCCATGGCAGGTTGGCGCAGAAAATCCTATCCCAGACGAGATGGCCAAATCATTGCGCGTGATGGAGCGCATTGTTTCACAAAATGTGTTCCACCGGCAGCACATGATCTACAGGAACTACCCCACTCTGGACGAGCTTGCCAGGCTCGACGAAATCCGAATGGAAGAGGCAATGGGTACGGCAGGAACGTCTGGATTCGGTGATGTTTCAGTGGCGGAAGATGCGCCAGTAGTTGCCGAACCTGCCCCCGTTGGGGCTGGCCTCGAAGAGCCAGAGGCTGGTGAGGAAGCAGGAGATGAGATTGCGGAGGATGCGCTGCCTGAGGAAAAGGATGCTGACAAGCCAGCTTTGCAAGACTTGTTCTGCTTCGATGCACCGCAGCTGACCCAGGGTATGACAGTGACTTGTGCAGAGTGGAACAGCAACAACAAAGACTTGCTGGCCGTTTCCTACGGTGACACCGCTCCAGTTCCTATCAATCCTGGTGGCTTGGTGCTCTTTTGGTCTTTGAAGAACCCAACCTACCCCGAGCGAGTGATCCGGACTCGGCATGGCGTGACAGCCCTGCATTTCTCGTCCATTCATCCCAACATGGTAGCAGCAGGCACTCACGATGGCTCCGTCATGATTTGGGACTTGCGGAGGCCATCAGATACCCCTGTGCTTCGAAGTGGGTCTTCTGTGTCGTCCCACAATGACCAGAAGCACACGGACATTGTTTGGGAGACTCGGTGGGTGGACCAAGGTCCAGACAAGCAGCCTCCTGAGTTGCTGGTGTCTGTCAGCAGCGATGGAAATGTTCTCCAGTGGTCTTTGAAGAAGGGCCTGGAGCAGATGTTGCTCATGCCACTGAAGCGCATTGCCAACCCGTACCTGGGCGCCAACTGCGTGTACAAGCACAAGGAGGGCATCGTCTTTAGGAAGAGCAGCGGCTTCTGCATAGACTTCCCTCGACATGATCCCTCGACGTATCTGGTTGGCACGGAGGATGGCCTGGTTCACCGTTGCTCAACCTCCTACAACGAGCAGTACTTGGACACATACTACGGCCACTCTGGCCCCGTGTACAGAGTAAGGTGCAACCCCTTCATGTCTCATGCGTTCCTCACATGCTCAGCAGATTGGACCATGAAGCTTTGGACAACGAAGCCCCCTCCGGGACATCCTCCGGAGACGCCGCTCTTGACTTTCCAGTCTACAGACCTTTATGCCTCTGTGAACGATGTCATATGGGCTCCACAGAACTCCACATCTTTCGCAGCGGCCATGGACGATGGACGGATTGAGCTTTGGGATTTGGCTGAAAAGCCGCTGGATCCCATTGTAGTCCATTATCCTCAGGAGGACAAGCCTCAAAGGCGGCGAACATGCGTTCGCTTTTCCCCCAACTCACCCGTGCTTGTGGCTGGTGATGACCAGGGCAGTGTGGATGTAATGCGCATGTACAACACCAACCAGGCTTATTATTCAGACCAGGAGCAGCAGGATCGCTTGAGTGCGGTGATGGTAAAGAAGCGGTAGGTCTGTGGTTGATGCATTCTTGGGAGTCTGCTTTGTTTAGACATGACATCGTTTCAGCATACCGAACATCGCAGAGACGCACAGAAGATGGGCAGATTCCCGCAGTGACCTTTAGTTTCACCCGCACTGAATCAATGCGCATGTGGTTGAAAGTGCAAAAGGCATTCTCGCAGAAGAATTCTTCGTGTGAAGCCTGGTGACTTTCGCTTCTGTTTGTTGGAGAGGTTCAGCAGAGAGACACGAAGTTCCAGCTTTACCACTCAGGATCGAATGGACTTATTCACAGTCGTCAGACTGATAAGTGAGCGCCGTGGCTGGATCCTCAGCAACGATGGCTTTGTGCGACAGCTGGTGCCCCTTGCCTTGTTTTCGGCATTTGGTGCTATTCCAGTTCTCCTTTTTCGCGGAAAGCTGCTGGGTAAGCTTGTAGATATGATGTACATCTAAGGCACCTTGCAAAGGCTGAGGAGCTATTGAAGCCCGCTGAGCGCTTGCAGTTGGATGTGGTGCACGAAGAATCCGATTCGAAGCCATTGAAATCGAGCTCGAGCTGTGCCTCGATTACACTTACTGGCATCGCAGTCAACAGGCTGCTGCGCGCAATGGTGCAGACACTGTACATCCCTGCCCGAGTCCAAAGTGTGGCTGTAAGAGAAATGCGAGTTTCCTAGGGGCCCGGGATGTTGGTGGTGGGCATCTAGCACAGCACAAAGCTGCTCGTACTTTGCATGTGCAGAGGCATTCGTGCATGAATTGCACTACATTGAGACTACATTAAGACACGGAGGGATTCCGGCATGCGTGTGTGTGTGTGTGTGTGTGGGTGGTTGTATACATCTGTAACATGTGTCATATGTGCTTCCATGCAGTGTTCCGCTCTGAGACTCCACGCGCATAAGCACTCAGAGTCAGAGTTGCTTGGCAATATGCCGATCTGCTTTCTGCGGATTCCCATGCGTTGGTTGCACTACCCGACCAAAAAGCAGCTCCACACTTCACCAGAATGTCTGTCGTTCCAGTTTCTTGCAGATGCTTGTGTTGCAGTAGGCTAAACTGCATCACACCGGCATGGCACGCTGGTTAGAATGCATCTCGTTGTATGTCGTTTCTACTGAGTGTCGTGGTACAACACGTGGCTGACAAACTACTGTAGTGCAGCATGTGGCGTCAAAATTGCATTGCTTTGCCGCGCCAGCAGGCGACATTGACATTTTTGCTTTCGCGTCTTCTTACTCCTTAGTGCCCCTGCGTGGCTTCTCTGCTCCGAGACCAACTCTTGTGCTGTGCAGGTGCAAACAGGAGGGCCGCATCCGAGCACTGTCATGCGGCTTGGCTGTGAAGTTGGGCAAGGGTTGAAGGCGATGCCAACGGACTGCGTTGCTGTAGTTGCCTGCTTGTTGCAAGGTCTGACATGCTGAACTCTGAGGGTTGCAAGCTGTATAAGCTGTGTTGCCGACTTCAATGTTTGCTGAAGTCCCGGTGCGATGTGGTGCTCAAGTTGAGACCTCCTGCATTTGCATGCAGCAGTGGAAAAGTAGTGGTGCCTGCTGAAGGCTTCGAAACTGGGCCGGTCCTTGTCGAGGATGTCATCATTCTCATCAGGCCAGGTTATGACCACATGCAACAAGATGCCTGCTATGCCTCAGATGCAGCGGGAGACGCCCCAACATCTTTGGAGCGAACGACGGCGCATGTGGGGCACCTGGACAAGGTGTTTCTGGCTCGCTAGAAACCCACTTGCCGGGTCGGGCCCAGGACGGTCGGCTTGTACGCAAACTGTCCAAATCCTCCAGCGCGCTTTCAGGTCGGGCCTGGGTAAGGGCTAAATCAGACAGGGAATGAAGACTCCCACACTTCCGACTTGCTTAATTCTTCAACCAGTCTCTGCCAGACGTCTCTACAGACGGCGCGGGCGTGAAGGTTGCCCGAACTTCATCTTACCAGCCGCTGCAAGCCCGCACTATCTCAGACACTTTGCCTTAAGAAGGATGTCAAGCCGAATTTCGAAGCAGTGTGCATCACTTTGAACTAGATAATGTGAAGCGGCAGTGTCGGCACAAAGCCGTTCTGTTTGCTGAGGACAGGGAGTTGGGGTATGCGTCCAGGCTGCCGCGGCAGGATTCCGTCGGCCCAGTCTTTCGGCGACAAGTATTTCCTCTTGATTTTCAGTCAAGCTGAACCATGTACGTCCCGGCTAGTTGGGGCCAGACGCGCATGTGTCCCTCGCAGGAGGCGAAAAAGATCCGTCCAATCCAAGACATGCGGGAGGGACGAGCTGGATTGCGAGATGGCACGTACCTTTACGTGGTTATGCTCGGAGACGAGGATAACATCCGCTTGAATCTTGCCCAGCTATGCTTGTTTCAATCGCAGTCGAGAGTGTGGCATTCGTTTCGGGCGCTTTGTGTTTGTGATTCTGGCCGTCATTCTGAACACTTGAGTCGGATGCGAAACTCAACGAGCTTGCGAACTCGCCTTCGAGTACAGCTGGTGTGAATCCGCTGGTTCCCTAATGTCGAACTCGCCAGTTTCACCAATTAGGATACACGAAGAGCACTTGGTTCACGAGGGCGTCCTGGCTGGTCATACGTCGCTGGTGCAAAGAGCCCTGCTGCAAGATGGGGCGAGTGGTGAAGTTGGATTTCTTGCCGGGGCTCGTGAACTTAGCTACAGCGGTAACGAGACGATGTGTAAAATGCTGAAAGCTTGCGCTGAAGCTGTGGGGACGAGACATCCAAGAAGTACATGACACGCCACTCGGCCCTCTCCCGTTCTTGATTCCTCAGGAAATGAATTCACCCGCGGATGGGCCAAACAATGGGACACCAACGACCCACAGTTCCGCCACACGGTGTTGTATGCCGGTGAGCTGGAGTACCAGGAGGGAGATCCTGGGTCCCGAACAAGCTGTTTGCGGGTGTGGGTACGGAGAGCTGTCCGGAGATGCCCCGCCTTGCTCGATGCATTCTCAGGAAGGGGTCGTGATGTGGAATAACCACTCGGGCCACTATACCCCATCGGCAGCAGACCATGTCCGCGTGCACCTTGATCCGGCCACTTTCGTGGCTGCTCGGATTTACATATTAGGTTGAAGTACTGCAGGAGTGGTAGGGGTGGCACGGGATGGCAGGGGGTGATATGGTAGCGGTAAAAGAATACCGTGCAGCGACAGCCATGAAGATGTTAAATCGCTTGCCTGCATGAACCTGCCTTGCCCTGCCATATGCTGCCCCTGCCGTACCCTGCCCCAGCCCTGTGTTGCCCTGCTCGATCCTGCTTGTCCTGCTGCCTGCTCTGCCCCGGATATATCAACCAAGGCATTCGATGATTAGTGGCCGGTTCGCCATCGATCTCGCCTGTGCGGCGAAAAAGTCCTGCGTGTCGCTGTGTCGCCGTATTTCTCACGCCTGCGATTTGGAATGTTCTCAGACCGGAACTCTGGAGCAGGAATTTGAGCCCATTCTTCAAAGCGAGGTTGGATGTCATGCTTCGGGCAGCTTGTGCATGCCGAGCCGCCGCGAATCAGGAGGTTGGAGTTTGATGATCAACATTCGTTCTGGGAAGGGGGTGTTCTGACACGAAGTTTCGCGGGAGCCACCGGTTTATTGGGAATACCGGACGGAACATTTTGCAAACAATGTGGGTCCCAGACAAATGAGTTGTTTCCTGGACTGCAGTTGGATTTCATCTGACCGTGTGCGACGATAGGAGAAATGACGAGAAGTTTCAGGACGCAGCCTGGTTTTTGAGGAGGATGGTCCTTGATTGGGGCTTCAGCCCATTCGAGTCCCAAAACTTCATAACACCACACAGAGCAGGCGCACCTGATTTCCCCAAAGCATGAAGGACCAAGTCTGGAATGAGCTTCTCCGACTTGAGGCCTCCTCAGTGTGTAAGACGATACGGTCTGCGAAAGCCCACTTGGATCCAGCATCTACAGGGAGGCCTTTTCATCGAGACGGCAGTTTTCAAAGGATTCCGCCAAAGTTCTCGAGAATATACATAACTACGATTCTATGCCAGCAAACCGCGGCAACTTTCCTAAAATAGACTAGTGAGTTTCAAAAGTTACGTGCTGGACTGGAGCAGATGGTGAATGAGAATGCGCAAACTGAGACCGCTTTGGGATCGTCTCGCCCTGTAATCTGTTCAGTCATTTTACCCGAGCATATGGCGCCAATGAATGATGAACCCTCTTGATTGGTTTGGTGCTTATGTTCCGTGTCTTCTCCTTTCCGCACTCGATCTCGGATTTCATCGGTCTTACCTGGGCCTCGGGCCTCGAACATGTTGTGAAGTCTTGCCTGCATTGTGCGAGTTGCGAGAGTTACTCCGCCGGAAGCGGCCAGAAACAAGTACTGAGATACACATTTCCAATGCAAAGGTGTTCACAGTCCCCTCCGAGAATGCACCATGCTGCGAGTCCGGCATCTCATGCTGAAGACCTTTATGACTTTATGCGTGAAGGTTCTTGCCGTCCGCAAGCTTCTGGATGAGGCACGACCTCTGCGGGTCTCTGCGATCTTGTTTGGATGGTAGTCAAGTCGTCTTGCTGCGAAAGAAAGTGTGTCTGACACCTCGGCGTGTCAGCGGGGTGGAATTGGTTGTTGTGCTTGTGCAAAGGCCGTAAACTTGATGGCCTTGGCAACGGATTGCTTTGTCCAGGCCTCGGAGCTCTGAAAATCGCAAAACTGTTCCGAAACTCGTTGTCATTACCGTTATCGCAAGTATGGCTATTACTACCTACCGTTATTACGATTAAGACTATTAGTACGATTAGCATTGGTAGTACTCCTGGCACTATAAACCAACTATTTACTATTTCATTCAAAACTCGCCGTCGCAGACCTTCCCGGCCTTCGCTCGCCGTCGTATTTCTTGCGTTGAAAGAGCTGAGCACCGCAGATCGGGTTGGGTTGTTTGGGCTTTGAGGGCTCAGGGCTTCCTGGAGACATTCCTAGGATCACACTCCTTGGACGTCGGGGACAGGTTCGGCGCCCAGTCGTGGATTTGACGAGTGCGAACTTGTTAAGTTGAGCAAGCCTCCCGTACTGGGCACTTGTTCAACATGCAGAGAAGTGGCATCTCTGAAGTAGATTCCTTGCATGAAGGACAAAGTCAAGATGGCAGCCACCTGCCAGCATACCTTTCGGCAAACGAGGCCATTCTGTGATCACTCAGCCGAGGGATTTTGCATGATGGTGCTCGGCGTAGGATGCAGTCTTGAGTTCTACTTAAGCTTGCAACACTCAGCATGCAGGGTGTGACAGAATGGGCCTGCCAGGCAGGAAATGCATGGAGAATTCTGAGCATGTTGCGCCCGGAGGTTTTCTACAACTGGGCCCGGCGTCCGTCAGAAGAGGAGGACATGTAATGAGCTCAGATGAAGATGCTCAGGCGTGCTCGAAAGTCCGAAGATAGCTCTTAAACGGCCGTGACTCACGGACTCCGAGCAGCGACACATGCGATGCGAGGCCTTGGAAGTGGGAAGTTCTTCCCACGCCGGTGCCCAGGGGAGGTGGCCAGCTGTATGACAGATGCCTTTGTTGAGCATGTTTTTCTCTGACACGACCTCATGGATAAAAAAAGCAGGTGTAATGGAATGAGACTTGCGACAGCTTTGAACGGCAGTGTTGAATATAAGCAGTCTCCCATGCCTTCGTTTGAAATGTTTCACTCGGTCTGGTCTGATGGTTGATCTTCTCGTGTTTCTCATTTACGGCGTTGTTAAGTTTTAAGCAGTCTGTTATGACTTCGTATAGTTCTTTTCAACATGTCTGGTCTGATGGTTGACCTTCCCGTGCGTCTCCTTTGCGACCTTGTTCAGTTGAGTCTTCTTTTCACCCTTGGTTTCCGTCTGATGTCGGGCCATATGTTCTCTGGATGCTTCTAATGGGCAAGTCTGACTGCTGAAGGCTGAGATAGCTTGCGTTACACACATGAAGTCCAGGCAACCTTCCTCAGATTGCCATCTGCCACCAGATTGTGTTAGGATTTGTTTGGCAGCACAGCTGTTTGTTCTTGCTGCATGTTGTAGCCGGGAAGGCTTTGATCGTTCCATTTGCCAATCGGATTTGGGCACAGTATGTGCGATGATCTCAGTCGGCCGTGCAGTGGTTGTAGCTGTGGATGTATGGCCACACATGTTGAAACACAGCCGTCGACTATGCACTATCTTAGCACTGGGAAGGTGCACCTGGAGAGTGGGAAGATGAATGCTCTTGGAGGCAAGAAGCTCGCAACCCGCGGTCACATGCCGCGTGCCTTGTGATGTCTCATCTCTGGATCATGGAGGAAGGGGCCTGGCACATGGCACGCCGGCCTACTTACTGCAGTGCATCGACCCCGGAACGCCGCGTGTGTGTGTGTGTGTGCGTAAAGATGTCAATGTTACAGACACATACGCATATACATATGCATGTGTACACATGTATGTATACATGTATATGGTATATGGTATATATATAGATGTAGATGTACATGTAGATGTATATGTATGTTCGGAACAGCTGGCTGGGTGGACTGTCTCCAGAAAGCAGTCGATCGTATGTAGGTACATAAGTATACGAAAACATATTAAAACAGAATTCATATGCATATATATACATATACATACATACATATATATATATATACATAGATAGCCTGGATGCAACGGCAGAGAGAGAGAGAGAGAGATATGAAGCCCCTTCCTCATAGCCCTGCCGAAAGAAAGAGATATACAGAAAGCCTTGACTGTGTGGAAGAAGAGAGGCATACCACAAGGCATGCAGTATTTAGATGTTACTCATGCAAGGTATCAATTCATTCAAACTGGATCGGCACAGTAGTACCAAAGAGACAGAAGACCAACCACGCCGTAACAGTGAAGCACTAGCTTTTCTTCAGAAGTTATTCCCACTTCTTTCAATGAAAGAGATACCAAAAAAACACGTGAATGCGCAGACAGTAATCACTAGCGGCTAGGCCATGGAATGCCGTATGCATAACTGGAACACTACGAAAACTTCGCGGTGTACATATTAGTGAAACAATTGCACGGTGAAACAGCTGTTGGCTTGGATCTCAAGGAAATGAAGCATGTAGTAGTGGAATATTGCTTAAGTTGCATGTGAACATCACAAGTTCGACGGGTAAAGAGTGAACACTTACAGGTTTCTTTTCGTTAAAATTATACTTACATACTATACTTAGAAGCAGAAAACACAGCACAGAACATCAATCGAATCCCAAGATCGTATTTAGATGAGTTTTCTCAATTTTTCATAAATCTGTAAAAATGATTCACCGCCTGAATACGACGTAAGTAGTATACGCTAAAGAAAACCCATTCAATATTGGAGTTTCAGTGAGCGACATATCCTCGAATATGCAGCCATCACTACTCAAATATCAAACGAGTATTCTACCAAATGGAACTTTAATGCTCAATAAATATGATTGAAGTAGTATTTATAAGGTATCTTAACACGTGTCATGTGCAAATGATATGCGTCAGTCAAATTACGAAAACACCCGGGTTAAGTATAAGTTACATATGACTGCCTGTGGACTAAATGTGCAGATAAGCTACTTCAGCACTTTGGTGCTCGAATACAATTGAACGGTGACAATGTCTTAGTATCAGGAAGAACTCAGCGCTATATAATGAAGAAATGTTGCTCAAGGTTTATGTGAACTTGACATGTTAAACGAATAGCCATCTGAAGCTTTCTCTTTATTTTGTTAAAGCTATAGTTGGTCGTAGTCGCAGAATTCACTGAACATCAGTTAGCTACTATATGGGAGAGCACAAGTGCACAGAGCTGCGGAGGGTTTCGATTGTTTTGTGGTATGGGGTGGGGGCCCAAAACATTGAAAACTCTCATGGTTTTCGACCTCTTCCAGCACGAAAGTGTGGAGAAGTCCCAATGTTTGGGGATGTGGGGCCCCAAAGCATTGGGACTTTGCATGGTTTTCCGACTATGGGAGTGCGAAAGTGCTGAGAGGTTTCAATGTTTGAAAGTTTGAGGGTCTAGGAGCCGAGAAGAATAGGCTTTTCTGTGGACATGTGGTCTCTTGTCTGGTGGCAAGTTTCGCTCACAAGCCGAAG